CAAACATCCGACACCTGCAAGTGAGGGGGAGTGACAACAGGGATATCTCGTTATTGGCAGCTTGGCCGAGATAATTGTTTCACCAAACAGACGGATGGCCAATTAAAGAAAGTGTCACTACATTGATTCCTAAGGAAAAAAAGACCATTATGCATGCTCAGATTGCATTAACAAGAGTATGTTGTGATGAGGGCATATTAACTATATATATATATATATATATATATATATATATATATATATATATATATATATATATATATATATATATATATATATATATATATATGTGTGTGTGTGTGTGTGTGTGTGTGTTTAAAAATAAATGCGTATATGTATTTGTATTTTGTATATGTATTTGTGTGTAAATATATCATCTCGTCGTTTTCCCCGTTTGTGCCCAAGATGCATGAGGTAGATAAAGTAGAGTTAATCTATTTCACTGACCGCGACATACAAGGGGATAATGTAGTTAGCACTTTGCTTAGCCGCCTTTGTTTTCCTAAACTGAGTTAGGTGCCCATCAGGGACATTCTACTGATCTACAGACCACGTATATATATATATATATATATATATATATATATATATATATATATATATATATATATATATATATATATATATATATATATATATATATATATAAACAGGTGAGAGAGAAGAGCAATGAAGAGAACAAACTAGATGCGCCACCCTTATTCTCACTTAAACATGGGTGTTAGCAGCAACAGCTAACCTGTAATATTTGACAAACGAAACAAAGCAAATGGCCCTCGATACTCCTCGTACTATGACAATAAAAGTAGTTAACTCCAGCCTGCCCCTCGTAGCCCACTTCATGATTGTAGGTACTTGCGGTTATCCCCCTTGCCCCCTTGTCCCTGTCATAATGTACCATGTCCCTCCCACGTTCGGCCGGTTGCCGCCCCTAATGACTATAAAGCGAGGCTTATCACGCCTGATTAGCGGAGTGAGCGCCCCTTGTCAGGTCAAATCGCACGTGCATTTTCACGCTCACGAGCCACAAAGATACCCCGGGGGATCGAGGTGCTTCAAGGTTATGATATGGCGGTGATCGATCCCGGCAGTATCGATACCACAAGTTGTACTCTTTGCTGATTAGGCCTATATAAAAATATAATAGACTCCCCGATTACGTTAACGTTATTTATTTAACACTGACTGTGTTCGAAAAAAAAACGTTTTTTTATAGATATTTTGGATTATAAAATTTAAAATAATATTTAACTTTCTTATTTAAGTTTTTTCTCCACTTAGCTGTAGTACACATGAGAAGTAACGGAATATTACCAGTATCGATACCGAATATTCAGATAATAATGGAAGATTCGATGCCAGAATATCTGGAGTCCAAGAGTCCACGGGACCCTGAGCGGCCCTGTCTGGAGCCAAGAGCCGCTATGATTTAGATTGGGCTATCTGGCTAATTGTTTATTTACCGTGACGGCGGTGCTATTTATAGCTGTGGTGATTGGTGTGGAAATCTTTGGGGAGGGGGGGGGGGGGGTACAACGTCATAAGAAAATGTGCTGTTACGTGTAAACATAAATGATGTTGCTGTGTTTGGGGTTAGGTGAGGGGCGGGTACAGTAGAGAATTAGACTAGTTTTTTTTTTTTTTTTTTTGTTTTTTTTAAGGAAGAAAAAAATAATTAATTTCACTTTTCATTTTTATGCACCAGACATGTAATTTACATTGCCTCTTTGTTCTCAACAGTATTTGCCGACAGCTTTTATCATGGATTTGTGAGGACAGAATTACATTAGCAATAGTTTTTTTGTGTCATGTACGTTTATTCATTCGCAAAGGTTTATTTTAACTTCATACGAAAATCCAACTCCACTTAAAACACATCTGTGATGTTTAACGTTTACAGAAGCAGAAAAGAAAACACATTGCCACTGTTAATACTGTTATCAATCTGATTGCATACATCGCCGTTATGGTTTTGTACATTAAAGCATGACTTGACGTAATCCTCATTGCTCCATGTGGAACATAAGGCCTCAACCATACCCTTCCGTTTTGTCCGGCCCTCGGCTGTTGATTTTGCAGCCTCCCAAGACATCCCTGATATTAAAACAAGCTTCAAATGTTATTTTGTTTTTTGTTCTACGGTGGTAATGAAAAAAGCAACCGGTCAAACAAACAAAAAAACAATTAGTAAACTGATTGATAACCTATTATAAATCATTATCTACAATCACATGAAATATTTATTTCAGGTACTTTAAGCATTTCTCTGGCATTATTCTCCCCCCCCCCCCACCCCTCTCACTTCTTGGAGCACGTACCCTGCACGGATGAAAAAGAAACAAAATTGAATCCCACTCGAGGGAGTTTCAAATGCCCGACCCCATCGGGAAAAATGTCTGAAAGTAACCCTGGTCATGTCAAGAGCTGTATGCTATTGCTACATCAATGTATTAGATCTCTGATGGATTGTAGAGAGACGTGTTATCATTTTTGTAATGCTATTCATTTTATTTTAAGAAATATTTCTGTAGTGTTCTATATAAAAAAAAAAAAAAAAAAAAAAACAACTTTGCTAGCTGATTTAGAGCTAAGTTAAACAAAGTATTGAGAAAAAAAATTCTAGTTTCTTTGGCAAAATTACAAGTTTAGAATCAAGAGATATCATTAGGATATCGGCTCCATGCTAGTAACACAAAGCCAAACGTAGATCAAATAAGTTCCTGCATGAAATCTTAACACGGTCTAATACCACCTCGATCACGCAGCAACCACCAACACCACCACCGCCACCACCACCACCACCACCACCACCACCACCACCACCAAAAACCACCACCACCACCACCACCACCACCACCACCACCAACACCACTGCCACCCACAATCACATAGCGTACACCGCCACTTCATAAAGCCAGTTAATAGACTCCGGGTTAGTAGAGTTAATCTAGAATTATCTGCAGGCGTTAATTACACCTGGGGGAGGGGATGAAAGAAGGAGGGATTAGCTACGCTGGTGGGAGGGGGGTAAGTTGCTAGATGGGGGTCGTTTTATAACAGTTCACAACCGGGGGGGGGGGGGGAATAAGTTGCTAGATGTGGGTCGTTAACGAGCGAGGGGGGGGGGCAATAAAACGGATAAGTGAGTAATAGAATTAATTCATTTTAAAAGAATAGCTAATGAATTATCCTTGTTTGTACTCTCTAAGACTGAAAACCAGCGCTTAACATGCACTATTTGATTACCTTTATTAGAGAAACTCAGACATACTTTCGCCGCCATCTTTAACTGGCAAAGCAGCAACAGTGACTTCCGGTTTGATAAGTTATGAAGTCTAGGAACCTAATACGTCATTTAGTCATGTTTTCATAAACAATGTGTCACTAGTCAATGCATACCTTTAGTTAGGTCCGAGTTGTATGAATCAAGTTATTGTTTAGGCGCCTTTGAGGCCTAAAGCTAACCCTGCTTTAGAAATAATATATAAAAAACATTTTACGCCATTAATTGGACGGCGCGGTAGGGTGGTAGAGCGCTCGACTACTAACCAGACAGTCTCAAGTTTGGATCTGGACTCAAGCCTGTAGAACGTCCCTGAGTCCACTCAGGTCTAATGGGTGCCTGTCACACATTCGGTAAACAAACGCGTTGGGCATAGTGTTGACCACATCGCCTATTCATCTTTCCCATGGACTGTTAATTTCGAAGGTATACAAATCGGCATATAGCCGGACGTCTAAAAGCTTTTTTTTTCTCTTCTTCTGAATTATTATTATTTTTTTAACTGTGTTAATTGAACAGGAAACTATTCACATCTAGAGACTGGAGGCGATATTTTAACGTGGAGCATACGACACGCTTAGAGAGGGTTATGTCATTGTTAGACAGTTTCTTCCAGGCGGAGCCCCCACCCCTCCCCGAAGAAATTCTACTCCCCCCCCCCCCCATGAACGAAATGGAATTTATATAGAAAATATATACTTTAACCAGTGTCTGCCCCCCCCCCCCCCTCCTGGAAAATTTTGTCCGACCCCCGACCCCTGAAAATATCAAGCGCCCCCCCCCCTCATCCCGGAGAAAAAAGTCTGAAAGAAACACTGGGGTTAGGTTTAGAGTTAGACAAGTTTGATGACGTTGGGCACTGGCCGTCAATGTCTACAGAAAGGAGGAACACATAATAGACCTACATTCAGTTATTTTTTTAACTAAGATTTACCATCAACCAATGCTGGACAATAAAAAAGATTGGCAGTTTATGAAATGCCGGTTTGGGTTAGGATAAGGATCAGGTGTTTACCTTGCTCGGGTTTTGGGTTAAAGCTACAGTTAATTCCATGGTTAAGGTTAGAGTTAGAGTAGCAATACGAGCTAAAATCATTTTGACCCTGCACACGACTCTAGAAGTACCGATAAACCTCGTTTTAAACCTTAACGCAACCTCTCATATACATTATAAACCTAACCTTAACGAAACGTTTCTATGGAGATTATCAGGGAAACTACCAATAATTTATTTAGACTTTAGACGTATGTGTTTGTAGTCCGTTTTTTTCCCCGGTTGAAATCATTCTCCCATTTTGTTCAATCCCGTAGTTTGTATTTTAAGGCACAAGCGAAAGATAATTACTTCGACGCTTCGTAAAAAAACTCATTCGAAAACTCATGCCCCGACTAAATAAAAAAGAGAAAAACAACACACAAGAAAATGATTGTCGACTTTAAGCCCCGCCCCTTTTCACACCACACACTCACCGCTCGCAGTGACCGTTATCGACCGGTGAAGGGGAGCCGAAGGAGCGAATCGCCACCGCGCTTGTACCGTGTAGCGGCCGAGCTTTCGCCCCGCCCCTCGCTTTCTCCACCGTGTTGTATCTTCCCCCTCCCCCCTCGCCCTTTTCCCCTCAAACCCAGCCCTCGAATGCATCCTCGCGTTCGTGAAACGTGCCTTCGAATGTGATTTGCAGAAAAACGAAATCTTTGCACGGTTCATGACGCCTTTTTTCCCCGACGCCCGACGGGGAGTGATATCAACGGTCTAGGAAAAAGTGAAGGGGGGCGACTCTAAGACAGAGAAGGAAAAAACAAAAAAAAAAAAAAATACTCAGGTAGTGTTGTCGAAAAAATCCGTTTTCAGCAGGAATTATTCCCCCTTGGTGAGAGCACGAATAGGTTCTGCGCGAGTGACTAGTCGAGTTATTGTGCATTGAAAACACACTTCAGAAGCGATAGGGGAAAATACGGATTGGACATTTCGTCAGATTCGAAATTCGCTGGAATTTTTTTTTTTAAATTTGGACTTTCTGAAAACTGCACGAAGTTTATTTCTTATTGTGGTTGTGTTTGCTGTTCGCGGTGCAAGATGGAGTTGTGATTTCTTTTCTAACTGTGGTGATTATTAAATTTTTTTTAACAACATTTTTATTTTGTGCGCGACTTTGCTTTTACTTATTTAATTTAAAAATCTCAGTTTTATACAGATCTAAACTTGATTTTTTTGTTTTAATTAATTATTTTAAAAAGTCGGTTACCGCAATCTACTTTAACTAAACCGGCGCTTACTGTATTTGATCGATGCTTGACGTTATTATTTAGTTAAATTTAGAAATTCCTTCATTAAGTTGTAGACATTTTTAAAACTTATTAATTACCGTCTCTCGCGTAATACAGGCATTGCCTATAAAGGCACTTTAACGGTTTGGAATACAGTTAGAGTCAGTGTTAAGTTTAGCTTTACTTATACCTACTAGTGATGAGATTATTTTTGGAATATGCCTACTCAGGCTAGGGTTCTTATTATGATAATTCGGTTTATTTTATTGGTAGGTTATGATGTTTTGCTTTTGGCTGTCATACATTTCGGATAAGTTAGTACGGTTAATTATTACGCGCGGACAGTAAACTATTTTATCACTTGATTATTTTCAACAAGGAGAACTTTAATTACGAGTTATGTCAGTAGTTAATAAATGTACAATTCCCTTTTTTAACCGTATGTTTAGGTTTACGGTTAAACTTAAGGAATATAGCGCAACGATAAGTTTAGTTTTGAAAACGAATCCAAGTAACTTAAGAGTTGAATCGGGTCTACTTGTAGCTTGGGTCTAATTTAACACACACAAGTTACACACTTTTGGCCTGGTCTATTTGGGGCTTGGGTCTAATTTAACACACACAAAGTTACAGTTTGATTGGGTCTACTTTTGACGTGGTCTAATTTAACACACTCAAAGTTACAACATTTTGATTGGGTCTATTTGTGGTGTGGGTCTAATTTAGCACAAATTTAACACATACAAAGTTACTCCATTTTGTCTGGGTCTATTTGTGACTTGGGTCTAATTTTGATTGAGTCTACATTTGGCGTGGTCTAATTTAACACACTTAAAATATTTGCTCTTTTTAGAGTTACTTCAGTAACAAAACAAACATCTTACTTCAATACAGCATATAATCTATGAGTTACTCTAACAATCTATGAAAGGCAATGAGACATCCACTTCTTAAAACTTCCCTTCCCGTCAAATATATTTTAAAAGCTAACCAGTAACCCAGCTAGATCTACTTGTCTATACTCTAAACAGAACATTTTAACTTTTAGGTCCACTTAGCTAAAAAGCACACGAAATACACATTTTTAAAGAATACACACATTTATTTGTTCATGTTACTTAAGTCTGACTTTTTGGTATCTCCTTTTAAACAAGTTAGGATAATTTTGACTAGATCTACCACACACCCAGGCATCACACTAGAAACCCGACATTATCAAATTTTTACGCAAATAAAAAAAAACAAAAAAAAAAACATATTTCAACCGAACTTCGAGACTTGTTAAATTATTAATTAGTTAAATTCACAAATAAAACTAACGCAAACATTTTAATTTTTTTAACTAAGTAAAAAAATAACTATGTATTTGTAAAAACAATAATTTATTCACCAGACGTTAAGGTAATATACTTTTTAAAATGCATACTTTTGCGAAAACGATAGTAGTATCATGCGTTAAAAAATCATCAGTAAAACGTTAAGTAAAAGCTAGATAGAATATAAATATACAGGAATCTAGAAATTTATTTTTCATTCAGAAAAAAGAAGGGCTAAATTATGCCGTAATGGTGTACTTTCAAACTAGACGCGAATAACAGGAAACTTTGGATTAATTTCCGATTGCGATATTTAACAATTCCTAACACTAATTCTAGTAACTAACTAAAAAATGATCCTAGCGCTATAAATCTCAACATATTATAATCCGTCTTAAAATACAAATAGAACTGGTTAGTTTACTTCAACCAACTATAATCAAACTTTAAGTTCATACCTCAATACACCTATGAATTCACATTTTTAGTGCATACTTACATCAAATAAATTCAACTTTTAGTTCATACTTACAAAATCTGTAATCAAACTATTAGTTCATACTTTTGTTAAATCATCTGTTATTAAATTTTTAGTTCATACTTACATAATCTGTAATCAAACTTTAAGTTCACACTTACCTATGTAATCACATATTTAGTTCATACTTACATCAAATCAGTAGCGTAGCGAGGGGGGGGGGGGGGGCGGGGGGGGGGGGGAACACATGTCCCCGGGCGCCGAGCTTAGGGGGCGCCAAAATGGGTTGGAAAAAATAAATTGAAAGTTTGAGGGGGGTGCAAATTGAAAGTTTGAGGGGGGGGGGGGGGGTGCAAATCAAAATCTCGAGGGGGGGTGCAAATCGAAAGTTTGAGGGGGGGGGGGTGCAAATCAAAATATCGAGGGGGGGGGTGCAAATCGAAAAGTTTGTCCCCGGGCGCCGGGAAGGGTCGCTACGCCTCTGCATCAACTACAATTAAACTTGTTCATACTTACTTACACCTATATAATCACATTATATGGTTCATACTAACATTAGCTACAATTAAACATTTAGTTCATACTTACATAATCTGTAATTACACTTTTTGTTCATACTTACTTACACCTATGTAATCACATTTTAGTTCATACTTACACCATCTATAATTAAACTTTTAAGATGATACCCCAAAATCCTACCCTAAATCATGTCCTCATTATAAAACCAATACCGACACTACAATCTTTGATTCGCTGGACCTTAGCTAGACTTGGGCAAATTTCATGTCGTGTTTTTTAAATTAAATTGTTATCAGCTAAGATTTTAAAAGGTTTCAAATGAGTGGTATTGTGTAGGATTGTACGGGGTGGTGGGGTTGGTGTGGTTGTGTAAGGTTGTATGGAGTGGTGGGTGTTGGTTGGTGTATACTACCTGGGCAAAAGATGTTGATACAATTTGGAGTATTTATACCGTGCATCGGTCTGGTCTGTTTTATGCCGAAAATTAATTGTTTCGCTTCTGGCTATAACGATAACCAGAAAACAAAAAAAAAAAAAATGTTTTCAGGGAACAGGTAGAATACAGGAGTATTTCTAATATCTAGCTTGCGTTTTACCCAGCGTTCACCAAACGAGTAATTTTAAGTGTTACAGTAAAAATATTCATAGTTTTTGTTTTAAAAAATTCACGTTGATCACAAGCTTTAGCGCCAACCAGTAACTAAAATGATTTATTATTTTTGTAAACATTAAAACTATCCCACATTAAGAATACATAGTTTGTATTGTAAATAACACGATATATTATCTTGTTAAAATATAAATATGTACATAACTTGAAGAGATTTGGTTAATACCGTAGTTGTGGAAATAAGGGCGATGTAGGAGTGAGTTATTTTAGTTTTTAGTACCGATCGGATTAAAAGCTAAATATAATATATATAAACTATACAAACTATATAAAACTATAAAATAAATAATAAATTCTAAAACAATATTATTTATATCAAAATTTGTTAAGTGAACTAAATATTCGTTAAGTAGGCCCTATTTGTTTTTAAAAACTCTGATTCTGTAATTTCCCAGTTGTGAGTTGGGTATAGTTTTTTTGGATAGCGAAAACACATAAAAACATCACATTGAAGTTTAAGAATATGTAAATCACACAAAAAGACACTTATAAAAGAAAATAAAGATATATAATTAACAAATATCACATTGAAAATACACATAGGAAATACAATTAAACAACACATATAAACCTCATAGTCATATAGAGGAAACAAGACAAAACACAGAAAACACACTCACGAAGTACGTTAAAAATATAGGCCTACATAGGGTATCAAAGAAACGTATAAACTACAGATTGGAAATAAAACAAAGAACACATAAAAAACACATATGACATTAACAACAAAGGACGTCAACACACATAAAAACAAGTTAGGAAACACAAAAAAACAAACATATAAACTACACACACTTAAGAAATAAAAAATAAACTAAGTCAAAACACACATGACATATTTTTAAAAAAATACCAAGGCATAGAAAACACACTTTCAGAAACATACAGACCTCCCCCCCCCCCCCCCACACACACTCATACACAGTTATGACATAAACACAACAAAAAACATATAATCTACATACACTTAAGAAATAAAAAATAAACTAAGTCAAAACACATAAAATATTTTTTAAAAATACCAAGGCATAGAAAACACACTTTCAGACACATACAGACCCCCCCCCCCCCCCCCTCTCCCCCTCACCCCCCCCCCCCCCCCCCACACACTCATACACAGTAATGACATAAACACAACAAAAACATACAGAAACTACACACACTTATGAAATTAAACTAAACTAAGTCAAAACACACATAAAATATTTTTTTTTTAAATACGAAGGCATAAAAAACACACTCTCAGAAACATACAGACCTCCCCCCCCCCCCCCCCCCCCACAGTAATGACATCTACATTATGTGCACGTCCTCGTTTGACTTCTGATCGTCATAACCTTCAATGTGTTTCCCGACCCCTCGGGCCCGTAACCCGATAGGGACCCTAAGTGTCTGGGTACACTGCACCGTGAAATCCACCCCCCGGGCCTTGAAGGGTGGAGCCGGTGTGTTTAAACACAATTTTTCCTAGCGCAACTTGAGCGCAACACAGTCGGCTGTGTCATTGTCAATATGTCGTTCTGTGGTTCGAGGGCCCCACCAAGTTAGTGCATACAGCCATTAAGTTGGGGGTGGGGGAGGGTTGATGGGGGGGGGGTGAAATATTTGAAAGTAGAGTCGTTTTGATTTGTGGGGGCAAAATATATTTTGAATCAATATTTGATGTGGGTAGTTTAAACAAGAAGATCTAAATACATATTTAAAAATACACACATACACACCCACAATCGACACACACACACACACACACTCACACACACACACACACACACACATATATATATATATATATATATATATATATATATATATATAATATATATATATATATATATATATATATATATATATA